AGGAAGCGGGACGGGCCGCGAGGATCGCCCGCCTTGGGTCGCTGCTTGCTGCCAGCACACCTTGGCCGCTGGGCACCCCCGGTGCGGGCCTGGTCAGGGCCTCCGAGGCCAAGCCGAGGCCTGAGCCCCGGTCCAGCGTCTCTGCAGGCAGGCTGCTGCGTCGTGAAGCTCATGCCGTGTTTACACGGGTGTTTGTCTCCCTCAGGGTGGCAAATTCTATTCGAAGAGTGTTCATCGCAGAAGTCCCCATCATAGGTACTGCCTGTCGCTTACCTCTGGTCACAGTCCCTTGGGCTGCTGTCCACGTTGCTCTCATCGCTTCCCCTCCATTTTCTCCTGCACCTCCAAGATGCTCTCAGCTCACCTTACCTGTGTTTAGCCTGTACTACCAGATGCTGTCTCAGCTTCACTGTAGTGTCTGTAGTTTTTTCTGTGTCCTCGTGAACTGCTCGGCTTTTCCCCACAGAAATGTTTCTCAGCTTGTGACTTTTTCCTCTCTGCAGCCATCGACTGGGTCCAGATAGACGCCAACTCCTCCGTGCTTCATGATGAATTCATTGCACACAGACTGGGTGAGTACTGGGCATGGGAAGGAAGGTGATGTGCAGCAAGGCAGAGGTTGGGGACAAAATCAGTCTGGAGACACTGAAGCACCTTTGTCAGGAGGCTGCTGTTTTTCCACCTGTCTTGGCAGGAAGGTTGGTGCTCCTGTGGTCTCACTCAGACATTCCCATGATTTCCTTCTTCCCACAGGTCTCATCCCACTCACCAGCGATGACATTGTGGATAAGATGCAATATTCCAGAGTGAGTCAAGCAAAATGTGTTTATTTTGATGATGGTGGGTGTCTGATCTGATGGGAAGTGCTACTAATTTCTTGCTGGGAGAGGTTTGGCGTAAAGGTCTTGACCCATCTCTGTCCCAGGACTGCACGTGTGATGAGTTCTGTCCGGAGTGCTCTGTGGAGTTCACCCTTGACGTCCGGTGCAATGAAGACCAGACTCGTCATGTCACATCTCGTGATCTTATCTCCAACAACCCCCGGGTCATACCGGTCAGTGCGATCCCTCTGCTTGGCAGCGAGTCCCCTCTCTACGCTCCTGTTGAGGCTAGGGTAGCAAACACAGGGGATGTGGACAAAATAAGGCCTTCAAGCACGTTTCACATTGCCTAAAGCCCCACTTGAACTATAGTGGGAGAGCAAAGCAGGAGTATCTGCAGAAACAGCAGTGTGTGCCAGTACCCTCCTCTTCTTCATCTTGTCGAACTTCACTTGCTGTCTGATGGCATGTCAAAGCAGTATGGCCTTGTTAAAGCCTCATCTTGCGCCCTTCATCTCAAACTCTTGGGAGGCTTTAGCATTGTCCCTCCATCTTGCCTCAAGCACTCGGAGCGTGTGCGCTTGTGTCCTACAGCCGTGTCGCTGCGTTCTCCTGCCTGCTTGCTGCTGGGGCTCTGGTGACGTCAGCCTCTTCGAAGGTTTGGCCGCAACCCAGAGGCCTCTGGTTTTCTGGTTCTTGTCTCTCAGTGCCACAAGGTGCAAGGAGCCTGGGCCAGGGCACTGCTGCCAAACAGCTCTTGCTCAGTCAACTTGGGGAGGGTTGGCAGAGCCAAAGCAGAACAGATGCAAAGGGACTTACTGAGGAATGTTTTAAAATGCTATTGATGAGGATCTGGATGTCCCTGCAACCTGGGGGCTGCTTCTGGTGGCTGGTGACCGTGTCTGCCTGGTTAAAGCCTAACTGTAGCCCACTGTCCCTTGCTTGCTTCGGCTGAGGTGCTGCAAGTGCTGTGTGTCACCTGCCAGCAGACGTGGGAGTGATTTTGGGCTGCTGTGCAGAACCAAGCAGCTGCACTGGGCTGGGCTGGAGTGCTCTCCGTTCTGGAAGGGAGAGCAGCTCGGGAGGCGAGCAGGCTGGTGGAGTGGGATATCACGTAGCTAGCTGAAGCTGCCTGAGTTGTCCCGATTTCCATTCAAGAGCATGGGCTGGATTTGTTGCTGTAAGTCACTCTAGAGTGGCTCTCTGCAGTCTCTAACTTTTGTAGGCAACTGCTATTTGATGTGGGGAGAAAAGCTGATGTTGCCATTAATTCACTTGCTTTTGTTCTTCTGCAGGTGACATCTCGGAGCAGAGATAACGACCCCAATGACTACGTGGAGCAGGATGGTAAGCAGCGTTTCACTGAGAATAAGACCTGGATGAGGAAATGAATTTTTCTTTCAGGCTCTTTGAACTTGTTCTTCCTTTACTAGCTGTGTAACCGTAAGGCAGCTGTAAAGCTGGCAGTTCAGAGACAGCAGCGTCACTGCATCAATGGGGTTAGCGTTTTGTCTTAAGGTCACTTAAAGGTTATCCTCAGAACTAAAGTCCTGTATCAGAGGGTGCTTCTGTCTCTCCTTGTGAGAGCTTAGAGACAGCTAAGGTGCAAAATGGGTGCTGTCTGCTGTTGCATGGGGGCCTGTGCAACTCCTTTTTACTTAGCAGAATGTGTCCTAGCTACTCTGGGAACACCGATGAGCCCCTCTAAGAATCCAAGTGAGCCCTGGCTTCTGGTAACATCTTCCTGGGCACTAAAAATTCCTACTTTTGCCCTTGCGTGATCTACACACTCATTTCTCCTCTGCAGCCTTCTCAAATGAGCGTGTGCTTTTCCACAGACATCCTCATTGTGAAGCTAAGGAAGGGTCAAGAACTGAGACTGCGAGCCTATGCCAAGAAGGGCTTTGGCAAGGAGCACGCTAAGTGGAACCCCACGGCAGGCGTAGCCTTTGAGTACGACCCAGACAATGCGCTGAGGCACACAGTGTACCCCAAACCAGAGGAGTGGTAAGTCCTAATGTCTGTCTGGAGAGACTGGAAAAGATTTTCCAAAAGGCACCTGCGTTTCAGCCCTGGGGATAATTTGGGTCAGTAAGTGATTGCAAGCGTGCCTGTCGCTTCCTCTTGCACAGACCCTGCTGCTGTGTTAGGGTACCAAGGCCTGTCACTTGGTTGCAGCTGCATGCAAAGGTGGACTGGTTTGTGGCCACCTCTTGTCCTCTCCTCACATACTGTCACTGCTCTTCTACCTCACTCGCTTTCGTGTTCTCTCCCACCACTTGTTCCTGTTTTTTCTTCCCTGCAGAAGTGGTATGTAGGTCAGGGTAAGGTCTGAGGAAGGAACAGATCCACACGAGGTGGAAGAGGTTGCTATGAGAACAGAGAGTGGCAGGTTAGGTTGCAAGGCTGATTTTGCAGCCGTCTTTTCTTTGACGGAGCCCAGTGTGTGGCTCTAATTTCACCCATACATCTCCTCACTCCTGGAGCATAAGCTCTGGCAGCAGAGTTTTCCTCTCTGGCCCTTTCCTCTACTCTGCCGTAGCATTCTGCACCGGTAGCATGCTGTGTTTAATCTAAAAGTGACATGATTTTGCTTTTGGAAGGCTGCTGCCCGGCTTTGGCTGTGGTGAGGATTTTACCTAGCAGCAGTTTTCCATGAGTAGATACCTGAGCCGCTGCTCCTGACTCTGTGTCCCAGTGACCACCTAGCAGACATCCTGTCATCAAGCACGCTGGAGCCAGCAGCAGAGCAAGGCACCAGGTGCTTTAGCCACAGTGGGCTGAGAGCAGGGACTAGAGGGAGCAGCGGACGTGCTTCTGTGACAGCAGGGCAGCAGCCATAGCTGCGCTCAAGGTCAGGAAGACCTCAGTTACAGGAGCAGCATTTGGTGCAGGGACCGCAGAACCCAGGGCTGAGCAAGAGGGAACAAAAACCTGAGCAGAGCTGCAGCTGGAGAGGAGGCTGAGCGGCAGAAGGGGCTCAGCGGGTTTTCCTGCTGTCGCCACCTGGCCCCGCGTTGCCAAATTTGGCTCTGCAAATGGTGGGCTATTGTACCTCCACGCTGTCCGGTTCGAGCCTGGACCCTTGTGCCCATCACAGAACATGGCCTTATGCTATCCCTTGCTAAGTTAGCTATCAGTAAACAAGCTTCCTAGAGGTGCAGTTAGCCTAGATTTCACACCTCAGCTGGGCTGCCAGGGGTTTTCTGCTCAGGAGGTGTCATGGAGATCCTGTGTGGCTAGGTTTGCACTCAGGAAACTTGAGAGGCCTTTTGTCGCCGCGGGTGGAGTTGCAGGTAATCCTTAACATGCATGAAATGAGCTGGGATCTGCCCGCAGTCATCCCAGCCCTGTTTTACGGATGGAAGGAGCGAAGCCCGCTTGGCTTTGATGGGCTCTGGAGGGCGCGTTCATGGGTCTGGTTCAGTCAGTCTGGGTGAGAACGGGACGTGCCAGGCGTTCAGCTCCTTCAGCACTTCATCAGGGCGGTGCTCTGGGATCTGCAGTAGGAACCAGGCTGGCTGGTAGTGCTGGAAATCTGGAAAGAGGCATTTTCTTAGCATTGATGATCTCTACGTGTGGACTGAAGCTGGACTTTGGGAACTGCTGGCTACAGACCAGGCTGTCTTGGGGAACGTCTGTGAGACGCCGGTTGTGGTGAGGTGGTGCAGAGCCGAGGAGGATGCTGCTCAGCAGTTTTGTGGTCAGGAGCATGTCACAAGAGTTGATGTGCCAGCCTGTCCTTTGTCACCAACAGTTTTAGGGGTGGAACTGGATAGTTTTGAAGTTTCCAAATGATTTATGGCAGATAAGTTGCCCCAAAGTGTAGTTGATTGTCTGAGTGATAGATTGGATGCTTCAGAAACAAGAATGTCTGTGATGTGGAATTTCAAATCGGGTTTTGAAATCATTTTAGGCTTCGTTTTGGTGCTGTGAAAATTCTCTTGTTAAATTTTTATAACGCTGGATAGTAAGTCTTTGACACTGATGAAGTATCAGACTTGGAATATTGCTTTCAGGTGGGTGGACAGATGCCAGGCAGGCTGAGGTATCATTGGGTTTGCCACCTTTTTGGATGGGAAATGTCACAGTGTGACTTTTGGAGAGCGTGGGCTTTTGGAGATGTCGGTGTCATGGAGAACCTCCCCAGCTGCATGGCTGAGCACGTGTACGTTGGCAGTGAGGCGCTTCCTTGGCTGGGTGGCACAAGGCAGCTGCTAATGGGGATTCTTTTGTTTGGTGGCAGAGTCGGCTGCATCTTCAGGAACCTGGTGTGTTATACAACAGGTCAGGTACCTGGAAACAGCGTTTGAGAAGTTCTTGACAGAATATATGTAAAAATTGGAAAAATCCCAAAGGAAGATTGACATTGGAGCTGCCTGTTCCCTGATGATAGGTCTATTTTTCCAAGTTCATCTGATTCCCTGTGAAGACAATACAGAGACAAAGGCCTCTGCTCTCCAAGGCTAGCTGTTATTTTTGGTTTGGTTTTTCATGCTGGTTGCTTTTTGAGGCTGTTGGCAGAGCACTGGCACACAGCTGGACTCTCAGAGAAACTGTCATGGTGGTGGAAACCTCTGCCTTGTTTTTGATCACAGGTGGTTCTGCAAGTAACATGAAGACCCAGCTCCATTAACACTTTATCCCTCTCAGTGGTTTGTTGTAGACAGAGAATTTGTTTGAGAAGTGCAGTTTTAAAGGCAGCTGATGATAGGATGCTAGGATCAGCCTTTCTTGATATTGCCAGGGCAGAGGAAGGCCAGCAGGAAACCTTGGCGGGCACAGGATTTTCTGTGCTGGCTTCTCAGCCAGCGCAAGTCTTTGGGTTTCCTTACATGGATGAAGTGCTTCCAAACAGTCTCTCTGGTATGATGCCCTGTAAGCCAAGGGATGCAATGAGTAGAAAGATGTGTTGGCCTAGCTGATGCACGGGTGTTGCAGTGATTTTGGCAGTGATGTGTGTAGAGGAGTGGAAATGCAGGACATTAGGATGGGACTCACTGATGCAGCTGGTGTCTGAACTACAGGAGATTTATTTTTTTTTTCCTGCTGGGCACAAGCCAACCGGGTCTTCCCATCTCAGCTGTGCTGCACAGACTGAGTGCTGAGGTGCTCCAGTGTTTTCCTGGCACAGTGAAAAGTAGAAAGAAAAGAGAACACAAGGTCCATTGCTCCGTAAACAGCGTCCAGGCTCCATAAACACAGTCCCTTCAAGCATCACCATTCCTTTGCTGTAAGCACCTGCCAGATTGTGCCCGTGTAGGTGGATGGAGCCACAGCACCCCACACGGGGCTCACTGAATTTGGGCAGAGTGGGGCTGATCTTCCTTCTCCAGTGCTGCTGGGTGACTGTGTGCCGTTAATGAGGAGCTAGAAAGGGCAGCGTGGGACTGAGCTCTTTTTCCGTGACTTGATGTTTGATGACTGCTCTTTTGCCTGCTGGACGTAAGCCCCAGTGCTTGCTCTCTGGGACCAAACAGTGCCGTGAGTGCCTGGGCACTGTGGGGCTGGGCTAGAGCGTGGGCTCTGTGCTGACTTTCCCTTATCTTTGATTCCAGGCCCAAGAGTGAGTACTCAGAGATCGACGAGGAGGATGCTCAGGCTCCCTATGACCCCAATGGGAAGCCAGAGAGGTAGGAAGCTGAATGCGCTGCCACAGCTGGAAAATGGGGGGACTGGCTGGGTGCACCTCGTTGGCTTTTGTTAATACAGGAGTATCTACTCTGTGCTGAAGTTTTCGAACGCTGGGAGCTGGTGTTCCCTGAAAAGCAGGGCAGAAGTTGGAGTTTACTGGTGATATGCCCAGGCCTGGCAGGTTTTCCCCTCTGGGAAATACTAGACAGTTCTGAGTTTGTGTTATCAAGCAGGGCAGTGCAGCACTCTGTGAAGTGTCAGGCCTGTGAGGCAAAATGGCTTAGGCTGTTTATTCATCCATGTGGATCTCTCATGCTGTGACTGCTGGTGGTACCCCCCCTCCTGGGTTATTTGCACTGCAGAAGTGCCTGCAGCCAGCCTTACGCCCTGGCGTGGGGCTCTGTCCTGGCTTGCAAGTCATGGTGCTGAACCAAAAAAAAAAAAATCTCAGAAGTGCTCTTGCAGCCTGTGGAGTCACGGATGTTGGTGTGACAGTTGTAGAGGGGCAGTGCTGGCTGTTGCCTGGCTGGGATGATGATGCTGATGGTTGGGATTCCCGGCGGATCTCCCTGCGCTGGGTCAGGACACGCTGGAACGGCTCTGTGGGCGCTCTCTGGTGTTGCACCGCCTTGCAGAGCAGATGGTGACTTAACCCCCTGACTTGTAACCTCAGGTTTTATTATAACGTGGAGTCCTGCGGTTCTCTGCGCCCAGAGACCATCGTTCTCTCTGCACTCTCTGGCCTGAAGAAGAAACTGAGCGACCTCCAAACCCAGCTGAGCCATGAGATTCAGAGCGACGTCCTCACTATAAACTGAGGTGGCCCCTTGCAAGAGGGTGCTCAGGGGTGAGTGATGCAGAAGGTCGTTGCCTCCACCTGGCAGCGCTCTGGGCCAAGGCTTTTGTCTCCCCAACTCCCTCTGCCTTTCCTGGCCCAGCTCTGCTGGTTGGTGATGCCTCTTCCTGGCCCTCCTTCCCAGGGAAAGCCACCGTGATGTGTAGGGTAAAACAGGAACGGAATTGGTGAGCCTCTTTGCTGGGACAGGCTTTGTCTCTAAGTGATCCCAGAGTTTTAGGCCAGAGTTTTGGATTCTGGCCACGTGGCATTTGGGATTGGGAAGAGTGTACCTTGGTTACATAACCCTACCTTATTTGCATGTCCGTTCCTTACTGTGCTGAATAAAGCCTTACCCCCAACCGTGTTCTGTCATCCCTGAAAGCTCATCCGGGGCTGCAGGAGGAGATGTCACATCATTTACTTCTCTCCAATAGACATTAACTTAATGAGATCTGCTTTGGAGGGAGCAGAGCTCTCTATTGCTGATTGCTGCTCTTGGCATTACCTCCTAAGGAGACCAGAACCCCCTCCGGCAGGTAGCCTGTCATTTACTGATCCAGCGCTACATCTAAAGCAGATGTTTGAGGCAGAACTGGTAAGAGAGATGCTGCAGAAGGCAGTGCTGCAGGGGAGCCCAGATGGGCCAGGCGGGCTTAGCTGTACCCATGCGCTGTATAATCTTTCCGTTAGGAGCTGGGAGGGCAGGGAATCTGTCAGCTCTGACTGCTGACAGCTTCCTGTGTGCCCACAGCCCCAGGGTGGGTTGTGTGCTGGGCTGGAGCTTGGTGCAGGTCCCAAACCGTGACCACTGTGGTAGCAGCTGAAGGACTTCAGCAATTGCCCAGTCCACCCTTTCTCCTCTGCTCTGTCAGCACCCAGCAGGACTTGGGTAGAACTTCTGGGTGACGCTTTCCAGGAGAGATCTGTCTCTTCCCTGCCGTGGTGGCTGGGAGGGAGGGAAAGGCGTGCGTGCCACTGCGCTCGTCCCAGCGTGGACGTGGGGCATGGGAATGGCTCAGGGAGTGGGGACAGGTTTCACTCTGAGCCGGAGAGAGCAGCCTGGGTCAGCGTTGCCTTCCCCTCCAGGGAAGAGCTGCTGCAGCTGGGCGCTCCTTCGGTGCCTTTGCCATGGCACAGCTGGCTGCGGCACAGCTCCCCAAGACCTCCCTCCCGCCCCTGGAGGGAACCGGCTGGCGTGGCTGTCTTGCCTTGAGGCCAGCGCTCTGCCAGCCAGTCATGGTGTGGCAAATTCTGGAAGAGCTGGGAGACAGAGCAGCTTGAAACTCCTTCACCCGGGGACTTGGAGCCACCACTGCCCTGGCACGTCCGCAGAGCCACGGGCACCCCAGTGGGGTGTTGGCACCCTGTTTCACTCCAAGTTGTTTGATGGAGGGTGGCAGCTTGCTCCCCCGCTTCTCTCCTCTCCAGTGGTTTTAGGGCTTCACTTGAAATGTCCTGGCCGTGGCTGGAGGCAGAGCAAAGCTTTGAGCCAAGCACACTGCCAGGAGCCTTTGGAAATCTTCCCCCATCAGCATTTTTCTCTCTGGCAGGCGTTACTCCCGCTTGCACTTCCCGAGTGCGTTTGGGTGGAACAGACAAACAGGAAGGGTGGATAAGGGTTGTTTATTCATTGAGCAACTCCTTAAAAAAAAGAAAACCCAAACATTTTTGGTAATAAATGATAAATCTTTTCCAGATGAGGTGTGTAGCCAGGAAAAGAGAGCGAGTTAACACCTCTCACCTAGGGGAGGACGTGCTACCGCATAGTGCTGGGGTGCTGACGAGCCCCTCCACACCTGCCCATGCTGCGGGGAGCAGCCCTTCTCTGTCCTGCCATCCCTCGGCCTCAGCCACAAGCTACACCAACCCAAGACACAGTATTTACAGACCACAGGTTCCCACATCACGACACTCCCTGTCCCCAAAGCACGGACATGGAGCTTTAAGGGCAGAAATAAAACCACCAACCACCCAACCCAGACGGAAAGAAGACTCCAAAGAAACACCAAGGTTTGCACAGCAATAAAAAGATAGCCCTTCTAAAGGAGGTCAATAAATAGGACAACTAGAAAAAAATCAATTGCTTTTGAGTTCAGCACATGAAGCCCAGTTCCCCTCGCCCGGTGAGGGCTTTCACCCGGCTGCACTGACGGGCAAGGAGGGAGGACGATGGGGATACACGGAGAAATGCGGCTGTTCCCCCATCGGCATGGGCTTCTCTGCGCAGGGACTTTTTATATCTGCAAAGCTGCCCCTCGAGGGACAGATGCTACTGGCCAAAACCAGTCCCTGGGTTGCCCACCAGCAAATAAACCAGGGGCACAGCCGGGGAGAGCGACTGCGGGTGGAGGAGCAAGGGGTGCAGGGGTGGGGGCAGCCCGAGAAAGCCG